TTATGGTGGGTAGTGGTGGTGGTGTATGGTGGGTAGTGATGGGTGGTGGTGGCGGTTGGTTGTTGTTGTTGTTGGTGGTGGTGGTGGTGGTGGGTAGAGGTTGTGGTGGGTGGAGGCGGGTGGTGGTGGGTAGTGATGGGTGGTGGGTAATGGTTGGTGGTGGTGGATAGTTATGGATGGTGGTGATGGGTGGTAGGTAGTGGTTTTTGGTGGTGGTGGTGGCGGGCGGTAATGATGGGTGGTGAATTTAGGTGGTGGTGGTGGGTGGTGATGGTGGTAGGTGGTGGTGGCGAGTGGTGGTTGTTGTTGGTGATGGTGGTGGAGGTGGTCGGTAGTGGTGTGTGGTGGTTGGTGGTGGTGGTTGGTCATGGGTGGTGGTGGCGAGTGGTTGTGGTGGGTAGTGACGGGTGGTGGTGGCGGGTGGTCGTGATGGGTGGTAGGTAGTAGTTTTGGGTGGTAGTGGCAGGCAGTGGTGATGGGTGGTGGAGGTGTGGTGGTGGCAGGAGGTGGTGGTTGGGTGGTGATGGTGGTGGGTAGTAATGGTGGTGGCAGGTGGTGGTTGTGGGTAGTGATGGGTGGTGGGTAGTTGGTGGTGGTAGGTGGTGGTGGTTAGTGATGGGTGGTGGTGGTGGGTGGTGTTGGTTGGGTGGTGAGTGGTGTTAGTTAGTGGGGTTTTTAATTGTTTGTAACTATTTTTTATTTATATTAATATTATTTTATTATTTTAATTATAAAATTTGTGTGGTCCAAATTTGTTATCAAATGTTCTCGCGATAAGAAATATTATCAATAGAACACTCCCATATATATATATATATATATATATATATATATATATATATATATATATATATATATATATATATATATATATAAGATCCATATCTATTGTATGTATAAGATAATTACAAGTTGAACTCAAGTACCTCTGTAAAATGAAGGGTGGTGATGGTGGTGGCAGGTGGTGGTTGGTGGTGGTGGTGGTTAATGATGGGTGTGATGGGTTTTAGTCATAAGAACATCCTATGTGCTCATACAAACCCTAATGCTTGGATCTAGGTTTCTCTATTGTACATGCAATTCATCCAAGACTATAAACCCTAATTCTAGCATTCAAATAATCATATTAACATGAGAATAGGTTTAAGATCATACCTTGATTGTTATGTAGCAATAACAATCCCAAATCTCCTTGTATTGACTTTAGAAAGCTTAGAGTCACAAATGTCACTCCTCTAATGGTTCACAAACACCAAGAGCAAGAGGATGAAGAGGAGAGAGGATGGAGGCTGCCCAAAAATGTGTGAAACCCTAGAACAAAGCTTAGCCACGTTTTTGGTCCTTAAGGGGTCTATATATAGTGAGGCTATTAGGGTTATCTAACAAGGAAACCCTAATTTGGATGCTTAAGCCCTAAGCAACCCATGGACCCTTTCCTTAAGGCCTTGGACGATTTCTATGGGTTTCCCCATAGAATTCGTCCACCCTTAATATAAGGCAATCCATAGCCCAAATTGCAATTATCTTATAATTACAATTCCAGTCCCTTAAGTTTAATTAATCTCTTTTAGTCACAAAACTAATTACCAATTAATTATTGACTAATATTAATTAAACAATATGATTTCTCCTTTAATATATTATTCTCATAATATATTAATAAATCATATTTAATCCTTTCTCTCCATAATTCATCCTATCAAGTTGCTTTGGTGAAGGCAACCCAAAAGGACCATGCACCATCGGGTCAAGTACATACCAAAATAGTTATGGACTTAGACACTAATCCAACAGTCTCCCACTTGGATAAGTCTAATAACTATTATGCGTATGACTTCAGATCCTGATCTGCAATCGTAGCTTTCCAAAGCCGCTGTCAACTCTGATCCTATCAGATACGCGTGTCCTTTAGATAAGGGATCATATATTCCTCCATTCTAGATATCGTAAGACATGATTTCTAATCATTCTCTTTGTACTATTTCTCGATCTCCGATTTATGACGACTGACTAATTGAACAAATCAAATTAGCCCTAGCTCGGCCGAGCATTTACGTTTGTCATCACTAAACCATCGAGGGGCCCAAAGATATCGCTTTTATCCTTCTTTGGATAAAAGGAACGGATAAACTTTGATACAATGCTTGCTTGCACTCACTCACCGAATCACACACAACAATATGTTTTATAACACCAAGTTACTAGTGCGTTTACATATTATCAATGTGCAACCGATTAGCAAGATACAACTCACACATCTCGGTTTCAAGAATATAAGATGTTATCGTCTCACCAATCACTCGTGATACAATTCATGGAGTGATCCAAGTGAGTGTGGCTTTGATCCAATGCTCAAATCTTATTCATAAGCACTCATGAATGTTGCAGCAAACATTTACTTATGTCTAATACTCTTTTAGACAATCCACACACCAATTCACGACAGTCTTCATTCATACCTACTTCCAACATATGAACGACTGTGGCCCGTTCGAATAATTTAACTGTTCTTAACCAATCAAATTATTCTGGAAGTCAAAACATGTAAAGTGAAACAAAAGAATAATAGTAATCCCATATGGCTTCAAACCTTTGAGTATAAATAAAACACCTTTTATTTATCACCATATTGATTACTCATTATTTGTCGTTTCGGGTAATCGACTTCTTACTTGAATTATTACACTTGTCCCATGCTCCTAGCATGCACAAAATGTTTACCTATGGTTCTTACTTTGTGAAATAGATCAAATTGAACACATTTCCAATCATTCTCATTTCACAACTCCAAATCCTTTTTCATAAGTGAAAGAATATCAAATTCTTGCTACTTATAGAATATGCTAGATTCTAACATTCTATGCAATGATTCTTTCGTAATGTCACTGCACCAAAGTCACAAAGACTATTGTCAATAATATTACAAAGTCCTCTATCGGAGATTGTTACAAGACAATTCCTTAGATATGATGTCTCTCACTCAAAGTACATTCCTTTGAACATCCTTTTGCATAAATGTTTCTAATCTAGACATAGATTTTCAATATTCAATTCCCAATATGGACACGTTTCCATATTTTCCATATGACAACTTATTCTTAATAGAATCTTATCTATTCGTAATAATGTCGATATGGTCCATCCAATCTGGAAACATTTCCATATTTTCCATATGACAACTTATTAATAGAATCTTTTCTATTCATAATAATGTCGATATGGTCCATTCAATACCATGCTTCCAACTACTCATAAGCAACCAATCATCGTCGAACTTTGGATTGTCCTTTGATAGTTGTTTAATTATTTTAGTCAAAACCGATTGTACTCCCTTTTCCCTCTAAATGCGCTAGACATTTTAAAAAGTTTAAAATGGTCAAATATTAAAGCATTTGCAATCGATCATATACCCGAAGCGTATGGGACACGATGCATAATGTTTTATTTGCTATGTTCTCAAAATTCGAATTGTGAAGAGGAATGTCGTAATCATAATCGAAATTTTAAGAAGACACTATGTACCTTTGACTAAATTTATTAACATTTCTCAACCTAAGCCTTTAGATTTGAAATTAAGCATAATATTCTCTCCCTTAATTATAGCAAAACAACTTTACAACCCTTACCACTTTGCAAGGTATAACTCTTGTTTTCTATAATTAATATTGTCAACTTGCAATACGTGCCTTAATAATCATACAATCATAGAGTTCAATGGTTCCATCACTAATTTGCTAGTGTTTGCGGCTAAAAGCATCTACAATGCATTAAACTCCATAGAGTTCAATGGTTGTCACATTATCTTTCTACAATCCATACAACTCTATTATTTTTTTTCTTTATAATGCATTAAGCTCTATAAAGTTCAATAGAATATTATAAAATATAATTATAGTAAATATTTAAGAATTAAAAACGTTTTTTTTTCCATTGAAGAATTCAGTGGCTACTAAACTTCAAATTCATTGAATGTCAATATGATATCTTATAGTGATAAAGTTTCATATATTGAATGACACATGAACTAAATTGATCAATTCTACCATTCAACTCATGATTATGGATACTCTAATTCCATCACCATATATTAAGCGACCATGCAATAGGAGGCTGCCTATATGTATTGTTGAAAGCCTTCTCATACGTATTCTCTATTAGTGATGTTTGATGAATACTTTCATATGTGCATATAATTCTACTTTATTGTGGTGCTTATTCTTAACAATGCTTTTCCACATGGCCACTACGCATTATGACGGATATTCCATTATGAAATTATATTAAAATTTGAAATTGTTCAAAGAGTTATTATTAATTTTTCTTCAAAACATATGTTATTTAAAATGAACATCTGAATTTTGTTCTTGTCTTTTTTTTTTTCAATTGCTCCATAAAGACACTTGTCATTTTCTTATTATTTTTTATTTTTTTAAAATATTGATATTGATAATGTTAGTCAATTATTTATTTAATCCCCGATTTTTAAGAAAAATTTGAATTCGTCTTCAATAAATTTTGGTTATGATTTTCGATAATTAATTATATTTTTATATTAAAAATCCTACAAAATCATAATTGATTAATAATTCATTGAAAGTAATTGATTAATAACTATAAGTTTTTATTATAAAAATAATTATTTTTATAACCATTGTTTGTAAGGGCTATAAGCTAATAATTATAAAACATGTATAGTTGTGTATTTAGTTATTTTATGATAAGTTCTATAAGATTATAAATTATCTGCAAGCTATAACTTACAAACATCTGTCGCAAACAACAAATTATATGCCACGTACGAATAACTTACTCTACCAATAAACCTTAATATTTATTAAATTGATTCAGGACTATAATTTATAGCTACTAATCAAATGCGATTATACAGATCAACCATCACAAAGTCGTTTGTACAAATCCATTTAGTACGTATATTAGTTTTTTTTTTAAAGACGATACACAACATACCGCTATACGTTGTAAGCCCTTTCGAGGCCATATCAGTAGTAAGGTGCGACATTAACAAAATCAAGCACATAGAGTCCCCAAACTAACACTAAAGAGGCAATCACAAATACCACCGGGCTAAACAACCAAAATAATACAGGAAACGTGATGCAAAGCATTCTGTTTCCAAAAATAGCCAAAATAAACCCTCTTTCCAAGATATCTCTCGTGTATTTACGAGATGAAGAAGGTGATGGCGATGCAACCCCTTCAGCCTCAGGTTCAGCTCCCAATGCATAAATCAAGTAATTTGCGTCGATCAAGTTTGCAACAGCCATAGAGCTACAAAGAAAGCTAGTTAACAAGAAGAGGAACGCTGATCCATATTTTAGGAAAAGGATTTTTGTCGTATGTAACCCAAAAAAAGAATTGCTGAAGAGATCTTTTGCACTGTATGTGTTGTTGATCAAAGCAGCCAAAGCTACTGTTATGATGGATGTGACCATGGCAGATAGTATAGAACTCATCAGCGTATTTCTCAAACTTTGTACAGCTAACGTGCCTTTATTATCATCTCCCTGATAAAAAAAAAAAAAAACACAAGAAAAGAAAATCAAGTGTAAGAGGTATGAAGTACGTTCTAATATACTACAACTTATATAATAATGTTGTTGTTCTTGATCTTATCAAAACCCATATCCAGATTCAAGTTCTTTTCTTGATTTAGACAAAACCCATATCAGGATTTGGGTTTTTCTTGATTTGATCAAACCCCGTTTCCTTCATCTATATTTATGCATTAATTTCTAACAAAAAAATGTAATTGATGCCTGTTTCATGTCTTTTAGCCAATGTTTCCGCTTGATGGATTCGATGCCGATTGTTGTGCAAGATGGTTTGGTCTTGAATTTATACCAAAGATAGGTATGGTAACCAAATGTGATGAAGAAGCTGAGCGGGACTAAGATGGTGTCCATATAACGAAGAAGTGCCATTTTTCTGTTGTATAAATTGATGGGATTCAACTGAATTTATTGATGGTGAAGAAAGAATACTCCTCAGTTTATGGAAGCTGAATTGGATTCATTATCAAGGATAGTGGAATCCTGTTGCTATCAAAAGTGTGATATAAAGCAAATAGTTACCTGATTGGAGTCACGTTGATTTTGTGTGAATACATGTACAATGGATTGGGTGTGAGCATGGTCGGTTGTATGGGGCCTTTATTTATAGGCACTTGATCAAACTTTTGATTAATTATAAGCATGGTTGAAAATTACTAATCCAATTAATGTTTTATTAACAAAAAAATTAGGTTTATTGTATTATCAATGTAAACATATTGACTAAATTGCAAAAATGGTCCATGTGGTATGTATTTTTTTGGAGTTTCGATCTAAATCTCGATTTTTTTGGATTGGTGATTTTTTTTAACTATTTTGCTTGCAGTTTTGGTTTCTGTTTAAACTAAAAAGACTATTATATCCTTAATGAATTTATTTTTCATTTTTCTTTCACTTTTAATATTATTATTATTAAATATAAAAGTGGACCCACTTATCCACCCCCCCCCCTCTCTCTCTCTCTCTTTCTCTCTCTCTGCAAATTCACACACACACACACACCTACACTTCTACTTCTGCATTTCCTCATTTGTTCTCTTCTCTCCTTATCGTCGATCGAATCTAGAATCTGTGGTAACAAGAAATATTAATGACAAGAAAGTGAATTCCAAGAAACATACATCTAACAGAGGCGACGATTTCTTCTGTGAATTTATATGCAATTTCTTCTTACCTCAATAACGATTTAAGAAGTATTTGCACACACACACGCATGTACTTTTTGAAATCAATTGAGAAGTTGAAGACATATCGGGGGACGAAATTGATTTCAAATATTTCAAGATTCAACCACCGTCGATCTCTCAAGATTCAAACTCGGTAAACCCTAATGAAATATTAAATAAATTTGTTATCTGAAATCAATTTTAAGGGTGAAATCGAACCATGGCCATCTTCTGTTTATCTCAGATGACTCGATTAATACCTCCTATGTAGTGAGGCATCTGGGTTTTTTTGCTCTTGACTTTTAAAGTGAAAGATCCGGTATTCGGGAAAAGAAGAATGTTAATGGAGAAGATGTAGGTTTCATTGGAGGGGTCGTCGGTTGCTAATGGCGGTGGTTGCGATTTAGGTGAAAGGAAAACATGTATGGAGGAAGATTGGTAATTTTAGGGTTGATTTGTTGTCGATTTCATCATCAGAATGGAATGGGTCGGAGGTGGGTTGATTTGGGAATCGAGGTTTGTGTTGATTAGGATATTGTTTCCTCAAAACCTGTTAACATAGAAAAATCGATGCAATTGGAGGTGGGTTGATGTGGGAATCCCTGATTTGTTTCTCCATCATCGAGTAAAGCGTAGGTGATGGCGAGGGTGAGAAAGAAGAAGAAGGGACAAAAGACTTGGGGCAGATCATGGGAGGAAGAAGATGGACACGAGAGGGATAGAAAAAGACGGTAATTAGTTTGGAGAAAGAGAGATCTAGAGAGAGAGAGAGAGAGAGGTGGGGTGGATAAGTGGGCCCACTTTTATATTTAATAATAGTATTATTATTAAAAAGTGAAAGAAAAATAAAAAAAAATTCATTAAGGGTATAATAGTCTTTTTAGTTTGGACATTGACCAAAAGTGTAAACAAAATAGCTCAAAATGACCATCAATCCAAAAAAGTCAGGGTTTGAACTAAAACCCTAAAAAAATACATACTACAAGGACCATTTTTATAATTTTGTCAACATATTTATATATCCAAGCACTACAAAAAATATAGGTTAGAAATGACTTTAAATTGTGCCACAATATAGTTTTTGGTTTGGGAATTGATATAACATTTTTTGAGGAAAATAATAATAATGAATTTTTTAAGAAAAAATTTATACATGAATTTTCATTTCAAAAATCATTTACTATTTAATATTTTTTTTATAGATAGTTGATCAAACTATTGATTCATTGTAATGTACCTTTGAGCAATACAATAAGTATGAAAACATAGTTGATTTCTTATTCCAAACTATATATATATATATATATATATATATATATATATATATATATATATATATATATATATATATATATATATATATATATATAATTTTCATTTGTTTGTATGGTTTGTGGTTAGTATTTGGTTCTATGTTGAGATATATTACCAAAAAATTTACTATTTATAACAGATTAAAAGTATTATTGTTATTTTTAGCATAACAAAATTGATATCTTAGAAAATATAATTATATAAACTTTAATTTCACTAAAAATAGTTGTTTTTATAAGAATAATTAATGAAGTGGAATCCATACAAACCTAATAAAAGCAATTATGCAATTCCCATCTTGTTTTCCATTAGGCCATGCACCAACGTTATGAAGGGCAGAGCACTACCATTTTAAGGATATAGTATTGTTTTGTCTTTATTATTATATTAATATTATCTAAAATCACACAAAATAAATAAAATCATTATTTAAATCATATAGTTTCCTATCACTACAGACAAGAGCATTACCATTTTGACTTTTACATAGAAGACAAGAGCATTATACAACACGGCCTAACTACTTATTTATACATTAACGTTTGGTTTTTTTGCTAATTTATGCAACTATATTAAATTTTATACAACACATGCAATGATGTTTAGAGACAAGACCAAATCATACAACATGTTAACTTGAATAGGTTAAAAACTTAAACATATAACATGATGTTAGTTTCATACATATTTATAAAGCTAACATTTTTTCTTGAATCTCATGCATTTGAAACCTCCATTTTTTTTCTTTTCACAACATTCATTTGAAACTCCCATTACTTTTCAATTTCTTTATAATAATAATTATAATTTGGTAATTAGGTTAAATAAATATCAAATCTAAAGTATATTCATATATAAACTAAATTTCAATACTAAAATAATATATTTAATTCTACTTATAAAATTGTGTTTTTTAACTTTTAACATATTATACTTAATTTATTAGTTTTAATATATTGTTGGATGTAAACCATTATCATTTTAAAGGTATAATTTTTGAACAATTTATATAAAATACTTAAATTATTAATTAAAATATAACATTATAGGCTCAACTTAAATATAAATTTTATTTAACTTAAACAACCCAAAGATTATTTTATAAATAGTTAAAAGTGATAAATTGTAGTGTCTTTCTAATAATTATTGTAACTTGGTTAATAAAGTTAAATAAATATCAAACCTAAAGTGTAATAAAAAATAGACTAAATTTCAATTTTAAAATAATATATTTACTTCTATTTATAAAGTTATGTCTTTAAATTTTAACATATTATACTTAATTTATTAGATTTAAAATGATGTTGCATGTAAACCATTATCAGTTTAAAACTACAATTTTTGAACAGTTTTGACAAAATACTTAAAATTTTAATTTAAATATAACATTATAGTGTCAAGTGTCAACTTAAATATAAAGTTCAGTTCCACTAAAAAAACCAAATAATATTTGGTAAATAGCTAAAAGTGATAAATTATAGTGATAAATGTAAAAACTAAATTGTAATATCAGCTTAACTAAAATATTTCCTAAATATATTTATATAATCGTTAAAAAATTTCAAATAAGTAGCTTAAAATAACTTATACTAACAATAGTTAAAAATAACTTTATATAAATGATTATATTGTTACCTTTAAAATCAAAAAATAATGTTTGTTGTTTTAAATAATTATAATGATAGAAATTAAAACATTAAGCAAATAAATTTTAAAAAATTAGTTAAAAATAACAACTATAAATCATATTAAACCGTATACAATATTTAATTTTATTGATGTTTAACTCGCGAGTAGAAGTCATTCAAACGAATGCTAGATACGGCGTACATCCTTTGGTCAAACACTTTATGGCTTCTATCAATGAAATGATTCCAGAATTTACTTTGTGTTTATCTCCATACACCGTAAACGACTCTTTCCCAGGAGGGTTTACTTTGACTATCTTCTTCTTGCACAATATCTCGGCGTCATTGGCGCTAAGCCAATCCATTCCAAGCACGATGTCGAAACCGTTAAGTTCGATAGGCAATAATTTCTCGTGAAACTTATTCCCATTCAAATCAATTAAGATGTTTTTCATACGATGGCTAACAGGTAAAAACTTGTCACTAGCAACTTCGACTAATAAAGCATTATCTAGTCTACCGACATGAAAAGCTAGTTTTCTACCAAATTCATGCGAAATAAAGGAGTAGTTGGCTCTAAAATCAAATAAAATTTGGGCAGGCAATTCGTTAACGAGAAAGGTACCTGAAGCGACATCAGCTTCATCTTTAGCAGCTTCCAGCATCATCTGGAAGGCTCTCGCATTCGGCTTTGGCGGAATATTGGGTTTTACTACCTCCTTCTTTTTCGGGCAGTCCCTCGACATGTGTCCCTCCTCACCACAACCATAGTAAACTTTCTTGGTGGGAGTGCATTCATTGACATAGTGTCCTGGCTTTCCACATTTTAAGCATGCGGCCACTACGTCACATTTTCCGTGATGTTTCTTCTTACATTTGTCACACCATTTCGCTTCGCCTCCTCCTCCTCTCGAACTAGACTTCAAGAATTTACTTTTCTTGTTGGACCCTGAAGGTCCATCGAACTTCCTTTTCTCACCAACATCTATCCTTTCTAGACCCTTTTCCTTCTGTTAGGTCTTCACATTATTAGCTGCTCGAACAGCTGTTTTCAGAGTAGTGGCCATCTTAACTGTCGGGCTAAAGTCGGCAGGCAGTCCATTAGTGAACCTCTCAATCTTGGAGAGTTCTGTTGGCACTAGGTACGGAAATAACTTCATTTTCTCAGTGAATGCAGTAGCATAGTCATCTATGCTCATTCTCCCCTTCTTCAAGTTTTGGAAATCATTGTTAGATCAATCAGATCTATCTTTGAACAGTGTTGCACCCTTAGTTGATCCTGATGGGTTTTGTACATAAGAACATTCCGAAGTGCGCATACAAACCCTAATGCTTGGATCTAGGTTTCTCTATTAAACATGCTTTGAATCCAAGACTTCTAATGACTTATTAGGTATAAGAACAACACAAAATCAGATCTAGAAACATACCTTTTGATTCTCTTGTTTGATCTTGTTGTCTTGGAGCTCTAGA